GTCGGACAGCGTCTTGCTGCATAGTTTTCATGCTCTCTTGGAGCTGGCGCACCGTCTCCTCTAAGCTCGCCATACTGCTCTGATCTGATTGAATTTCTGGTATATATTCCCTCTCAGTGGGAGAAACAGAACCCTGATCTCTACTGTACTCAGGTAGGGTAGATAAAGCCCTCTGCGACTGTGTTAGTACAACTGGCTGTTCCATAATTCCCGTATTCAAAATGCTCCAATCCTGTGCGAAATTCTCGACACCGGCGCTCTTCGGCGATGTACTCTACTCTTCGGCCCTTCCGGTTGTCACTGACATTCTCGCCCCTGCCGGGCCTCGTTCTGGTTGGAACTCTTCCACAACATCCAGTTGATCGTCCAGCCACCCGGTAGCCTCTGCTGATTCCTCATAATCAAACCAGTTGACTGCTGCGTCCCCTGGATCTTGGTCATTAAAAAACTGGAGGTTGGCAAGGTCCTCTTCCACAACCGTCAAACCATCTGTCCCCTGCTCAAATCCATCTCCTCAGATCACACACAGCTCTGCCCTCTCTGACAATTCAATATTAGCCTACTTCACCCACTAAACCTAACCCACTACACCACTACCACCTCACCTACTCCACTAAACCTAACCCACTACACCACTACCACCTCCACTTTACCTACTCCATCTACCACCTACTACCACCTACTCTTCTATATATAGGAATCATTGTAACATTCAAAATATCAATCAATAATACAATCAATATCTATACAATTCTCTATTTCTCTTTACATTATATTTCTACACCAACTTTGTAACACACCTAACCAATAAGACAAAATGTCACATTAAACACATTATCATTTCATTTTTTCTCTTACAAACATCACATCCAACTATAAAAAAATCCAACCATCTTCCCATACACAAAAATTTTAGCCTACTAAAATAGCAAAAAACTCTAAAATAGCCAAAAATTCTAAAATAGCCAATTTCCCAAACGAGGCCATTATATATATAACATTTTTTTGGGATAAATAATCAAACTTTATTAAAAAACATCAAGACGATGCAAAGAATACAAAAAGTCAACCCAAAAAGGGCCCAACTATGCAACACCATCAACAACCTACTCTCTAACCATGATACGGAATGGCACACATCCTGAAAAACTCGCCTATTTCACTCCAACCAAAGCAAACAATGGGATGCAAGTACCCAAGCCTTCCGACGCCTCTTCCCCACCCTAGCCCCACCCCAACTTTGTAACACACCTAGCACAGACCCTGGTTGCACCCAAACCAAACCAAACCAAACCAAACAAAGCAATAATAAAACTCCAAAGTCAAGACGTAACCGGCCAATGAAGAAGCAAGTGATCCACCATTTTCGCATCCTCACAGCACATGCAACACCAGTTGACCTAAACATGCCTCTGCTAGATTAAATTGGCAATAGTCAAAATATGTCCCAAAGTAGCTGTCCAAACGAAAAAAGCACCTTAGACGGTGATCCCGTTGCCCAAATACTCTTCCATGGAAACACAACAACACTACCCTCCACCAACATACCATAAAAAGAAGATACCGAAAAAACTCCTTTGGATCTCGGACAATCCCACACCAAAGAGTCCACCCCATCCCCCCTCATACCTCAAACCATACAAAAACCGCAGAAGGTCCACCAACTGATCCAACTCCACTGGATGGTGTCTCTTCTGCTTGGATTAGGGGATAGATCCACTGGCATCCAGTCCCTAGCAGCCGATAGGTATTTGCGTGAGTCTATCCTTGAAAAAATAGATCAAATACGGGGGTTTTTGTTTTATCCAGCGGGGAAAGGTCTTTTGGAAACCACTTATCTCAAGTATCTAAAAGAGATTCGGTTGTGCTTCTTCTTTGGTATTTTTACCGAATGCCTTAGGAAGCTAGGACAAAGCATTGTTGACAAAGCCGAGTTCTTGAGACAACAAATGAGTAGCCCAACGAATTAGGTGGAATGGAATTAGGGACGCTTGCTTATGCTAGCCTTTGCCAGCCCGATGGACTTGCTCACTTACTCGACTCGAACAGAAGAAAGAGCAACTTAGGCTTATCCTAAAGAATCCCCTAAAAAGCTAACTAAAGATCTATATAAAGAATGAGCACAATAAGATATTAAGGAATTAGTCTTCTCTCTATCTTCCTCCAATGCGCAGACGGTGCCGATGGAATATCCCAAATCAGTTGGTTATGGATATGGATCTTACACCTTGTAAGATCTAGGATACAGACCAAGATAACCTGGTGATTTAATTTTATTAAAGAATCAGGAAAGTTTGTTGTAACACTGAACTGAGGTTGGTGTATTTATAGGTTAAATCTTTCCAACTACATGAACCTTCTCAAGATAGAACTCAAAATCTATCTTGAGCTAGCTACTCTACCTCACCAGCTCTATGCCATAAGCCAATTCGAAAGCTTGATCACTAATAAGACCTAAAAGCAATGAAAGCAACCAACAACACAGCTAATGTCTTTCCTCTATACAACAATATATTATACGCATATTACTTATATATGTAATATTATTATTTATTTATTACTATATTTGCGGGTCGGGTAGGGTTCTGGTAGAAAAATACTCTCCCCCACCCCCGACTTAAACCCAATTAGGTTTTTCAAAAGTTTCCCCAAATCCGACCTACCCTATTCAACCACCCCCAAACCCATCCCATTAGGGTCGGGGGGGAATCAGGGACCCGGCGGATTGGGACATTTTGCCATCCCTACCTGTATCTTAGTTTTAAGATATTTTCATATTACCGTATCCGTATCTATATCCATGCTTCATAGGACAACCGTAACTAATATTATAAGTATAAATAACATATCATTGATAAAAAAAAATGCAGACCTACAAAATCCAATTTCCAAAACTTCAAATACTAACAAATTTATGATCCTTAATAAAAATACATACATACATACACACACACACACACACACACACATATATATATGTGAAATATGTCAATTTTTCATATAACATCAAGATAATTATGTCACCTTTCCATGAGCAATAGCAATTTTAACATTTGGAAATGACTGTTCGAGAAATTCCATCACTTCTTCAAGTCCTGAAGATGGTGGTGAAACTCAAATCAAGAAACAAAAATATAAAATAACAAGAGACGTACTCAGAGGAAAGAAAATTATAGAATCCTCAATTATTGATTTTCAACTTTAACATGTCAACTTTGATTTTGTTGTCTCTCTTTTTATTTTGGGTAACTTACATTGACCTCCCACGAGGTTTGGAGAAAATATAGTAAGCCCCACAATTTTTGGTATAATTACACCGACTCTCATTTAGTAAGGTTAAAGGGTCGAAACTAATGAAGATAGTGTGAAAACATAAAAATAAACAAAGTAGAATATACGTTTCAATGTAAAAGAGATAACAATATTATTTTTTCATCCTTATGACTAACGAATTATTGATAAAAATGGGGTTAAGTGTTATGTGAATTAAAACTTTAAGGGAGCTTAAAGTAATTATGCCAAATCTGTGGAGCTTATTGTGTTTTCTTGAAACTCAGGGGAGATCATTGTAATTTACCCTTTTATTTTTTACCATCTAAACAGTAAGCTGTGATCCAAAGGCAAGCATATTAGATAATATACTCATGTATCATACTGCCTACACGGAAAGAAAATGAGATTTTGTTATTACTGTATTGAAAATGAAAGGTAAATATGTTACCTTTGATACGAGGCAGAACAAAGAAAACTTGGCCACCACGGTCCAGCTCATAGTTGATTGCTGATATTACCTTTTCTTTACTGTATGCTGACAGATGGGTTCTTATGGGAACTCTTTCAGGAGGTGGCGTTGAAATTAAACTGAATGAAAAAGAAAGATGCCAAGGAATGAAGTACAATCTTAGGACCAAAAAGTAGTCACTATGAATCTCCTAATAGGATGAGGTCAGTCGTGGGGCACACCTAAGTTAGTAAAGAACTCATTTTCATATATCAGTTGGCTTTGGTAACTCCTATGATTTTGTACTATAGTTCCTCTAACAAAATTAATCACAACAAACCAGACATATACACTATTTTTGTATCAGTAAACCTTCCATGAGAACCCTAATACTATGGAACTCATCAATGAACATTGATGAAAATATGATGGACCTGTCAAGGGATACTGCTATTAAATCCAAACTATTCTGCATTACGTTGTACAAAATTAAGGAAATATACTATAATGTTTTAATATATTTAAGTTGCCGATCGAATATACTGTTCTTGTGGCAGATTCCAACACTATCTCTATGCCACTTGGAATATGCAGGTTAAGTTTGCAAGATTTATGTCTTAAATAGGATAAATTGATCTTTCTAACCACGACCAATATCTTCACATAAATTTTACTTTCATCAATGACATAAATCCACAACTTCCCATAACCCCACAGTTAAGTTAATCTGAAAAATAACAGAATTGAACTGAAGATACTCTACTCCACAAGTCCATAGTATTACCTAGCATCACGAAACCCAGTCAACGCTAAATAAAGGGTTCTCGGTATAGGTGTTGCAGAAAGTGTGAGGACATCAACTGAAGTTTTAAATGAAGCAATCTTCTCCTTCTGTTTGACACCAAACCTCTGTAAAGCAAAGAAACATCGCACATGTAAGTCAAGGATCCTTCCACTAGTCAGGGAGAATGCACAGAACTAGAGTGTTCAATTTCCATTCCCCAACACTTTTTTCTTTTTTTTGGCACTTACACAAAGGTGGGAAAGACTCATTATAAAATTAAAGATGAAAGTGTTTCAAATTTTCAATGTTGATTCTGAAATGATTACATATGCTCCTAAGTTTTCTGACTTCATATTGCATAATAATTATCACACATAGGAGACAGGAGACAGTAGGAGAGAACACCACCTCTTAGAAGATAGTCTTGTGTAATTTACTCATAAGATATTAAGTTGGTAAAAACTGATAACCGGTGCTAATAACAGCAACATATGATAACTCATTAAAGCATTTGGCAACTATAAAGTTGAAAAGAAAGCTATCAGTTGCACTCTGATCCAGCATTCTTCATCTACTAACCCTTCCCCAAACCTAGCCCCACCCAAGGGTTTTCTCCATGTAACATCATATCTCATCATGAAGAACAGCACCTTATAAGCTCAATTAGATATAACGGGGGAGGGGGAAAAAGAAGACTAATGTAAGTAGTTGGATGATGAGATTGACACATGACAGCTCTCTCAGAAAATGGTAGAAAACAATGCACAGGACCTTTGAGGTGGATGAGGAGAGAGTGGAGGCACCCGAGAGAGAGAGAGAGAGAGAGAGAGTTGAAAGATCTTTGGCTCGTCAAAGGGGAGCAAGGTGATTGGCTCTCTCCCTCTCAGGCCAATTAAGGTGGAGCCACCCCAAGAGGGAGCTAGCCAAGCATCAACTCTAGCCTCCAAGCCATGTATCTTCTAATGATCTTGAGTGGAGTTCTCAAGCCCTGCGCTTAGCCTAGGCATCCTTAGCCATGTTAGAAATTTCAGTATCACCAAGTCGTGTGGGTGGACAGTTCTAGTTCAGTGTAGGAGATGACAGCCAAGTAATGTGGAGGAAGTGTGCTCGGTTGGAGAATGACCACACCCAAGGCAAAGGAGGGTATGCCATGGTGGGGAACCACTCAACCCAACTGAGGAAGTACCCAAGGATGCCTCACCAAGTTATTCTAGCATCATTACCAAGTGCCATAGCCCAAACAAAGTCTTAGCTTCCCTAGCCTATTATATTTGGTGGAAGAGTGGACAAGGGCCCGTCAGCCCGCTCATGATTTATACGGCTTGAAAAATACATTTATGCTCATAGGGCTAGGCTGGGCAATTTTTTAGGTCCGTTTACAATTGTGGGCATGCTTAGGAATAAGACTTGAAGCTCAGTCCACAAATTATACATATATATAAAAGCTCGTGCAAGGCACAGGTCAAATGCTAAAATGCAACAGTTTGTATGAAAAATGTAAATTAATTAAATTATTTAAGTTGATTACTTGTGTACTATCATTTATGAGATCATAGACGACTTAACTTTTTATAAACTTTAGGCACTAAAATTTAAATGAAGCATTTTATATATTTTAATAAATAAATCATTAAGTCAATTAACAGTTTTTAATGATATAAGAAATATTTTTCAATAAATAATTTTGATAATTTTTTTTTATTGGCACTAGGGTGTTCGGATCAAAAAGCCTGACTAATCTCCAAGGGTGCATAGGTCCTCGGCAAGGAGTTTCTCACAAGTGTACCACGGTTAATTCAATGGTTTCCCCCCAATCCGATGGCCCCAAGGAATTGTTTGCACCTAAGAGGTTTCGATCCTTGAACCTTGGAGGGAGCACACCCCCAAGACCCAAGGCCTTGCCACTAGGCCAACCTCTTGGGGAATAATTTTGATACTTTCATTGTTGCATAAGAGAATAGTTATTTATTTGTAAGATTGATATTTTAAACAAACCTCATGAGTATATTTGTAATTTATCCAAAAACAAAATATTCATGTCTCATAACTGACCAAGATTTTGTGCATAATTATGACAAAAACCTTCATCTAAATTAGTACCACCAATATTGGTAAATATTACCAAAAAGAGAGGGCAAAATGGGAAAGAAAATACAAGCCTCCTAAACTCAAGCTATTCTAATATAGATAGAGTAGATATAACATATTTATACAAAGACATAATTGTTATTACATATATTCATATTTTATACTATTCAATAAATTACAAAGAGATTGGTTAAAAAAATTCAAGCTTTTAACCTAGAGCTTACAAGAAAACACCCAAACCATTTTTCTTGTTATCCCTACCATAGAATCTTGGAGATAGACATGTTCCTTATGAATGAGACGGCCAAAATTATGACAAAGGACCACTTCTGCAAAGTTTTCCCACACCTGATTGGCCTCACTTACACTAATCAAGGAATTCGTTCCATGATTGACCATCATTTAATTAACAAAAGCATCAATGTGATTTTTCTCTCTTAATTATATATAGATATGTCACAAGTGATAATAAGTGTGCACAAATATAAACATTAAATGCAAAAAGTACCAAAAATAATAGGAAGCCAACCTGTTCCTCATCAACCACAAGGAGGCCAAGATTGTTATACACAACACGACTACCAAGAAGTGAGTGAGTTCCGACAATGATGTCCAAATGCCCGTGTTTGATCATGTGCAGATACTGCTCTTTTTCTGCTTTGGTCTGCATGTAGAAAGAGATCTTGTTAGATCTTGTTAATCCCACCACAAAGTAATAGTTAGTATAATTCCATTATGTTGTCCCAGAGTAGAGCCGTGAAATGAGGATGAATTGCCTGGCTGACGCAAATACTGAAATACAATTGCTAAAGGTTCAGGCTGAAGTAATCACAATTTAAGATACAACTTCTTGCAGATTCACTCGGCTTCGTCAAAATTAGGATTCTAGAATCAACAAGGAGGTCTTAGGATAGAGATCAGAATCAAGGATCCCACACAACAGAAAGAAGCATATGAAAAATGGGTGACCTAGTGCACAAAGCTCCAGCTGAAGTGGGGACTAGAGAGGGTAAGATGTACGCAATCTTATCTCCATTCCACTATATGGTAGAAACATAAAGTATAACCACTTATCAATTCAGGTTGGAAGAAGCAAAGAGAGAAAAGATTTGAAAGTCAACCATAGCTTCTTTTTTTTTGACATAATGGTAATGAACAGGAGGAGATGAAAAAGAAACTTTACAAATGAACATTGAAAGTTAGAGAACATATTGAAAAGTGCATTGAAATCCTAAACAAACTTAAATATTAGTACTTATGATCAAAAAAAGAAAATAAAAAATAAAAAATCATCCAAACACCTTTTACATTAAAACATTCCATCGTTTGAATGCAAGGTTCTGACATCAACCTTTAACACTTTCTCATCTTAATAAAACAGAACTTCATAACAAACAATTGATCAGTGTCTGGCATGTAATGCTCTGATCCTATAGCAACTAAACAACAATTTGTCTAATCCAGATATAGACAATAAACAAGCTCGAAAACGTATCTTACCTGAAACCTGCTCAGGAGTCCAACCTTGATATTAGGATACTTTGAAAAACGCTCTGTAATAACATCAAAATGTTGTTTGGCTAAAACAATTGTTGGTGCAAGTACCATAGCTTGCCTCCTTGCTGAGACCACACAAAAGATAGCACGTAGTGCAACTTCAGTTTTACCAAACCCAACATCTCCACAAATTAATCTGTCCATTGGAGTTTCTCTCTCTGTCAAATCCTTCTCAACATCAATAAAAGCCTGTCATAAGATTCTGAGCTCTTAAAGGCAAAAAAAATAAAATAAAATCCTCTAACGCATGTAAGCTCACAAAAGTTCAAAAATGAAATATTCACAAGATATTTTATGAATAGAAGGACAAAAACCTCATTCCCCATAACCTGATAAATGTGCGGTACAACAAAGTAAATCCTCAGATAATGACAATTATTAACTATGAGAAAAAGAACCTACTGGAGCCGAAATATAATTTTACAATGCATGGGCAAGAAGTATATAAATCATACCTGTTTTTGATCCGGTGTAGGCTCATAAGGAAATTGAGCAGCAAATTCAGCCATGGCAGGACTCTTTGGGTAAGGAGGCCTTCTTTGCTTTAGCCTATGTAGATATAATTCCATTAAGTCAACAACCATTTTCTGAACTGCAACCTTCCCTTTTATCCTTCTCCTCTCCCATACGCTAGTGTCATTTAATTTACTTAAGGTTCGTGGCCTTTTAGTTTCATTTGGGCTGGAAAAAGAAGATTATATATGTCACAATGATCAAACCACAGGTATAACAAACACTCTAGATTTAAGACTTTATTTGTAAAGTCCATGCTAATCAAAGTTGTTAATCTTGTACCAGTCAGGAGACCTTTTTTGTTAATGTTATGGTTACATACACTTAGAAAATATGAGGAAGAAGAACTCCGAAAATATGAGGAAGAAGGAATATATTTCTGTTATATTCAAAACTTCTTATCTTACAAGACCAAATGACACTCCTTATATAGGAGATATTACAAACATCATCATAACCCATTATATGCCACTTACATATTATATATTACCACTATCTACCACTATCATATTCTATACATGCCACCAACACCACTATCATATTATATACATGCCACTATCTTATTATATACATTAACACAAATTTCCAGCACTCCCCTTCAAGCTGGTTTGAACTGGTTTGAAGATATCGTCCATAGCCAGCTTGCTAGTCGGCTTATCAAATTGCTTCTTGTGTAGTCCCTTCGTTAGCACATCAGCTAATTGTTCACCTATTGGAAGGTAGGTCATACAGATTATGCCAGCATTGATTTTCTCCTTGATGAAATGTTTATCCACTTCTATATGTTTTGTGCGATCATGTAGAACTGGATTATGAGCTATAGATATAGCTGCTTTGTTGTCACAATAGACCTTCATAGGTGTCGGGTGAGAAAGCTTTAATTCTTCAAGAATTCTTTTAATCCACATTACTTCACAGATTCCATGAGCAACAGCTCTGAACTCTGCTTCTGCACTACTTCTAGCTACCACATTCTGTTTTTTACTCCGCCATGTAACTAGGTTCCCACCTACAAAGGAGCAGTATCCGGATGTTGATCTCCTGTCTATAACACTTCCTGTCCAGTCTGCATCTGTGTATACTTCAACTTGAAGATGCCCATGTTTCTTGAACAGTAAGCCTCTCCCTGGAGTTCCTTTCAAATATCTTAAGATCTTATAAACAGCCTCAAAGTGCTCTGCCCCTGGTGAGTGCATGAACTGACTTACCATGCTGACTGCAAAGGCAATATCAGGCCGCGTATGAGACAAGTAAATCAATTTCCCGACAAGTCGCTGATATTGTTCCCTCTCTTTGACTTCTTCAGCCTTAGCAGCTTGTAACTTCAAGTTAGGCTCGATCGGAGTCTCCACCATCGTACAACCAAGCATACCTGTTTCTCCAAGGAGATCAAGAACATATTTTCTCTGATTAACGAATATACCTTCCTTGGATCTTGCAAATTCCATTCCGAGGAAATACTTGAGGGCTCCCAGATCCTTAATGTGAAATTCTTTTGCGAGTTTCTCTTTGAGAGCTGCTAACTCTGCTTCATCATTACCAGTTAAAATGATGTCATCAACATAAACAATCAAAATTGCAATTTTACTGTTTTTTGAATGTTTATAAAATATTATGTGATCTGCTTGACTCTGCGAGAAGCCACAACTGATAACTGCCTTCCCAAAGCGTTCAAACCACGCTCTTGGTGATTGTTTGAGTCCGTATAATGACTTGTTCAATCTGCATACTCTGTCACTTCCAAGTCTCTGCTCAAATCCCGGCGGTAGGCTCATGAACACCTCCTCTTCAAGATCACCATTGAGAAATGCATTTTTAATGTCAAGTTGATGTAGAGGCCAATCTGAATTTACTGCAAGAGATAACAGTACTCTGATGGAATTTATTTTAGCAACAGGAGCAAACGTCTCCTGATAGTCGATCCCATAAGTTTGAGTGAAGCCTTTAGCCACCAGTCTCGCCTTGTATCTCTCAACGCTTCCATCTGCGTTACATTTTATCGTAAACACCCATTTACACCCAACTGTTTTCTTGTCTTTGGGTAGATCAACTATCTCCCAAGTACCACTTCTCCTTAAAGCATTCATCTCCTCCATAACTGCTAATTTCCAATTCGGATCATCCAATGCTTCCTGTATATTCCTTGGAACAAACAAGTGTGAAATCCTAGATGTGAAAGCTCTATGGTTTTTAGACAATCTTTGATAGGAGAGGTAATTTGCAATAGGATGTTTAATGCAATTTCGGACACCTTTCCTAATTGCTATAGGAACATCAAGGTCGGAAATAGAAGGAATAGGATTACCTAAAATTTCGATGCCAGAACTCGGGTGGACATTACCACCAACACCACTATCATATTCTATACATGCCATTATCTACCACCAACACCACTATCATATTCTATACATGCCATTATCTACCACCAACACCACTATCATATTCTATACATGCCATTATCTACCACCAACACCACTATCATATTCTATACATGCCATTATCTACCACCAACACCACTATCATATTCTATACATGCCATTATCTACCACCAACACCACTATCATATTCTATACATGCCATTATCTACCACCAACACCACTATCATATTCTATACATGCCATTATCTACCACCAACACCACTATCATATTCTATACATGCCATTATCTACCACCAACACCACTATCATATTCTATACATGCCATTATCTACCACCAACACCACTATCATATTCTATACATGCCATTATCTACCACCAACACCACTATCATATTCTATACATGCCATTATCTACCACCAACACCACTATCATATTCTATACATGCCATTATCTACCACCAACACCACTATCATATTCTATACATGCCATTATCTACCACCAACACCACTATCATATTCTATACATGCCATTATCTACCACCAACACCACTATCATATTCTATACATGCCATTATCTACCACCAACACCACTATCATATTCTATACATGCCATTATCTACCACCAACACCACTATCATATTCTATACATGCCATTATCTACCACCAACACCACTATCATATTCTATACATGCCATTATCTACCACCAACACCACTATCATATTCTATACATGCCATTATCTACCACCAACACCACTATCATATTCTATACATGCCATTATCTACCACCAACACCACTATCATATTCTATACATGCCATTATCTACCACCAACACCACTATCATATTCTATACATGCCATTATCTACCACCAACACCACTATCATATTCTATACATGCCATTATCTACCACCAACACCACTATCATATTCTATACATGCCATTATCTACCACCAACACCACTATCATATTCTATACATGCCATTATCTACCACCAACACCACTATCATATTCTATACATGCCATTATCTACCACCAACACCACTATCATATTCTATACATGCCATTATCTACCACCAACACCACTATCATATTCTATACATGCCATTATCTACCACCAACACCACTATCATATTCTATACATGCCATTATCTACCACCAACACCACTATCATATTCTATACATGCCATTATCTACCACCAACACCACTATCATATTCTATACATGCCATTATCTACCACCAACACCACTATCATATTCTATACATGCCATTATCTACCACCAACACCACTATCATATTCTATACATGCCATTATCTACCACCAACACCACTATCATATTCTATACATGCCATTATCTACCACCAACACCACTATCATATTCTATACATGCCATTATCTACCACCAACACCACTATCATATTCTATACATGCCATTATCTACCACCAACACCACTATCATATTCTATACATGCCATTATCTACCACCAACACCACTATCATATTCTATACATGCCATTATCTACCACCAACACCACTATCATATTCTATACATGCCATTATCTACCACCAACACCACTATCATATTCTATACATGCCATTATCTACCACCAACACCACTATCATATTCTATACATGCCATTATCTACCACCAACACCACTATCATATTCTATACATGCCATTATCTACCACCAACACCACTATCATATTCTATACATGCCATTATCTACCACCAACACCACTATCATATTCTATACATGCCATTATCTACCACCAACACCACTATCATATTCTATACATGCCATTATCTACCACCAACACCACTATCATATTCTATACATGCCATTATCTACCACCAACACCACTATCATATTCTATACATGCCATTATCTACCACCAACACCACTATCATATTCTATACATGCCATTATCTACCACCAACACCACTATCATATTCTATACATGCCATTATCTACCACCAACACCACTATCATATTCTATACATGCCATTATCTACCACCAACACCACTATCATATTCTATACATGCCATTATCTACCACCAACACCACTATCATATTCTATACATGCCATTATCTACCACCAACACCACTATCATATTCTATACATGCCATTATCTACCACCAACACCACTATCATATTCTATACATGCCATTATCTACCACCAACACCACTATCATATTCTATACATGCCATTATCTACCACCAACACCACTATCATATTCTATACATGCCATTATCTACCACCAACACCACTATCATATTCTATACATGCCATTATCTACCACCAACACCACTATCATATTCTATACATGCCATTATCTACCACCAACACCACTATCATATTCTATACATGCCACTATCTGCCACCAACACCACTATCATATTCTATACATGCCACTATCCTTCACCAACACCACTATCATATTATATACATGCCACTATCTGCCACCAACACCACTATCATATTCTATACATGCCACTATCTGCCACCAACACCACTATCATATTCTATACATGCCACTATCTGCCACCAACACCACTATCATATTCTATACATGCCACTATCTGCCACCAACACCACTATCATATTCTATACATGCCACTATCTGCCACCAACACCACTATCATATTCTATACATGCCACTATCTGCCACCAACACCACTATCATATTATATACATGTCACTATCTTATTATATACATTAACACAAATTTCCAGCACATACCAATACTGCTGAGTACTGACATACCATTTTGGATTTATCATTATAAA